TATTTTGTTCTAGTTAAGGCATTTCTCTTCCTACCTGACATTTCAGAGATTCCTTTCATTCTAGTCCTATCCACTGAAAATCATACTGTTAAGATTGTTTATAGGTTTTTTTCCATTTTCCTTCCCTCTGAAGAATGTCAACATCCACTTTTCAAGCTTTTAATCTCTACGCTCCCTTCCTTCGCTGTCTAGTCCATCCCTTTTAAACCAAGCAATCCCTAGATAAAATCTCAAGAAGGTTGCATGTTATCTAACCTCTATTAGCCTACCATGAGATCAACTAGACTTACACCATCAACCCAAGAGTAGAGGGGGAAAAGAAAGTACTCTAGCAGCCTAAAAACTCATACAGAAGGAGAGAAATTGTTTCCTCTATCTACAAGCAGGAGAGGAGCAGTTGTGTCTCTTGTAAAGGAAACTGAAACAATTTTGAAGAGGGAGGAGGGACATTTCAAATGTGTGAGAAGAAAGAAGTCTGGAATTTTATTCTGAGCTTCCTTTTCCCTTTTTAAGTAATTACACAATCAACTTTTACTTGTAATTTGTGATTACATATGCGTTAAGCTAACAAGTTTCCTGACATGGAGGAGCCTTTAACTGCCCCTGCAACAGCTGGAAGGGATTAGGCTGGCTAGATAAAAATACTCTGTTCCTCCTAAGTTTTATAACGCTCATTTGAAGACTTGCTTGCCACCAACACAGAAAAGGGAAATTTTCAGTGCCATAACAGCTTCACTCTATCTGCATAGGTGGAGACCACCACTACATTTTAAGATGGCAGTGAGACATCCCTCAGAAGCAGTCAGAGTGACTTTGGGGTGGCTGAGCAGGCAGCCCCAAAAGACAGCTGAGAAGGTCAAAATACCCAGCCCTGCTTCCTCTATAACTATTTTTCCAGAGACTTATGGAGGTGAAACAAATTAAGTCTCTTAATGGATCCTTTTGCTTGGCTGGAATCTAATCTAAAAATACAAACTTTTAATGTCTATATTTTTGTCACATTCAGTAGCCACTGTAGTTATCTCAAGATGATATTTAACAGAGGGTTCTTCATCCAAGGGCTTCAAACGATAGCAGTCAAGACAGTCTCACATACCAGTGTGGAAGTGAATGAGCTCTTATGTGGAGGGAAGCTTGAGGACCAAGTCATAGAAAATTTTGCCAGGACTGGAACACAAAATCTGTAGCACAGCCAAAAAGATTTCCTGGCTCTCAGCCCTACTTCTCAACCATAACAAATTCCTTCCAGCACATACACATGTTCAAAGATAAACTGCAGTAAATAGACCCCAAAAAAGCTAAAATCCATTAAAATAACTAGATAAATAACAAGACTTATGTCAAAGAAAATGTTATCCTGCCAGGGCTTGTCTTCCCTGCACCAGACAGCACAAGTTCTTCTGCATAAGACTGCTTAAGCCAAGTGAGAACAAATGCCTGTACCATGACACAAGTGTGCCCCTAAAAGCAGTAACCGAGTAATGGTCTTACACAGACCATTTTGTGCACCTGACAACCCTTATTTAACAGTGCATACTCTGGCCTTGGAAACACTCTAAGAATTTATTACAATGCTATTGATGTTGAAATTGCTTTTTCCCACCTCTAAAAAACTTTGACTATTAGCATCAGCACAGACTGAATGCACACCATTTCAAATGCATTTCACCTTTGACCACAACTTTGGTTTAATTCCAGCTCTGAAGGTGAGGGTATCACCAGAGGAACATACAACACTGGTCAGCACAACTCCAAAAGCTTGGAAAGCCTTCCAAGCAAGTATTTGGTTTATAAAACAAGTATTTATTTGTTTTATTTCAGTGAAATATTTTTTGCCACTCGACTTGGACTTCTGAATTTAAGGGATCCTGCCCCCTGTGTCCTAAATGACAGCAAGTAATCAACTCCGTGGCATCTTGGGAGGAAGGTACAGTGTCCTACAGCCACTCTCCTAGGACACTTCTAAGGTTGTAAGCACTTTTCCTTCTGAACCCCTGTGGTGGAGCAGGCTTGCCACACAAATCCAAAATTGCTTAAATAGATATCTAAACTCAGAAAAGCAGAATTATGTGGTAACCGCCTGAAGCAGTGCAAAAAACTTGCTGGCTGCTGAAGTGAGAGATGATTTCAAACATCTCATCAGCTCCTGGCTTTAAGGAGCCCATTCTTACTCTGCCTTTGGTGCCTTTTCAAGAGCCACAGGAAGCCTGTTGATGGAAATGCAGGTTTTACTCATACAGCACTAGCAACAAATGACAGGTCCTAACTCATTCCCATCTCTGATGCAGAAAGGCAGACAGACTCACATATGCATTTCCCTGCAGCAATAGCATTGTTTCCTTTGGAGACAAAAAACCCCTCAGCGTACAAGGCCCGCCCTGCAGCTGCTTCCTCCTGCTTACCCCCTCCTTCCTATCCTACAGGAAAATAGCCTGTGGTGAAGGAGTATAAGCAAGGCCATTACCCTGTCAATTCTTCTTCCATAACTATTAAATTTCTTAAAATTTAAGGGGTTGGGGGCTACTAAAATCTTTTCTGAACCTGTCAGCACAAAGCCCAACATCTTAAAACATGATCCAACAAAAGGAGAGAGCAAAATGAGGCTTCCCCCTTGCTCACACTGGAGCCTGGCCAGAAGGGAAGCCAGTCCTGATTCCCAACTGTTCCCGGCACACTAACACAGGTTCTTCAGCTTGGACAAGCTCACAAATTAGAACACTGCTTGGCAATAATCAGCTACATCTAAATTAAGCAAGTGGATATACAATTTGCCTTTGCCATTCACACTTTTACACTAAAACGACTCAGCCTGCCTGCTCAGTGGTAACTCTCCTTGCTGAAACAAGAAGGGAAGGAAAAATCTATAAATTCAGGGATTTCACATTGTCATCTGCAGGTGGAGAAACCCTGCAGCTGAATGCTGTTTCTGGACATACACAAATATCATTAAGGTCATCAATTAGTGCAAAGTGCATGTACTGTACTGCACCAGAAGGATTTAGGGGCAACAGAGCCCTAATGACAACATAACCATACACATAAAGCCCTAAAACAGGCTCTAAGTACTATCCATGCTTGTAACAGGAGCAACAACAAGGAGGCACAGCAAGGCAGGAGCTCTGACAGATAGAGCAAAGGCTGAGGTTGCACCTTCACCACTGCTTTAAAGCACATTTACAGTGGTAAAATGGACCAAACATCCCACCCTGCTTCTGTGCACCCATACCTTTGTCAAAATGCCAAATCAAGTTCTAATCAGTGAGATACACACTCATTGCCATTAGATTCTCTCCCTAAACATGAATTATTGCTTGAGGCTTCGACCTGTGACACCAAATTTCTGTATGCAGGGATTTTCATTCCAGTAACTGAGCCTGCCCCACAGAGTCTTCATGTGCAAACGAAGTTGGAGCAGTAAAACTGAGCAGAGCTCCTGTGACCTGAAGCAGAACATTTGCAGGAAAGCCCTTCTTTTAACATGCAAGGTTGCCAGGAACAGAAACAAAATTTAGGGTGTGATGACTGCTTTTGTGAGAAAGGCCAGGAAAACCTTTACACTAAGGTATTTGTTAAGTTGGACATGAGAGACTCTGCCAAGCTCACATTTTCATTTCCGACGGACTTAGAAGTCCAGGATGCACTATGCTTTACATTTAAGCACGGATTTCAGTAGTCAAAAAGGTTTCTTGTGGTTATAGCTTATTGAAGTTAAACTCCTTGATTTCACCTCAAAATCAAGGTGAAAATGTTTCACAGAAGACTATAAAGAAAACTTGAAATAAAATAAGCAAGACCCACTTTTGCATGTTTCTGAATTTTGTCTGACATACTTTACGCTAAGAAACTGTGCCAAAATCCTGTGAAGCGCTATTATTTACTCCTTCACAGCAGACTAGAAAGGTTTTGCCCAGAGCCTTGCTTAGGTGCAACTGATTAAAATACAGTTCAAAAGAACCATGCCACCCAGCCAGATATGAAGAGCTTTGTTATTCTAAGACTTAGAAATAGACTGGGTTTGATGCCAGATGAGAGTCTATCCAAGTTGTTGTTTAATAAATGAGTCTGTCTAAATTGAGATTTATCTCATATCTGCCCCTAAAGGCAGTAAGAGCTGCGCTTTTTTTTAATATTTACTTAACAATGTAATTAGTTACAACATGTTTTTGTTTCAATTATTAGTGACTAATGGGAGTATTTTGTGCATATGTGGTAACTGTCGCCCTTGAAATTACCAGAATCAATTGCACAGTACACTATATGCATTTTGCTGTATTAATTCTGTGCTTACATGTTCAGAAAATGCTTTCTGTATCACAACATTTCAAAAAACCACTGCAGTCAATTTAAAAAAAAAAAAAAGAACCACCTTTCTGATTAGAAATAAAGCTTGGGGTGTGCCTTCTAATATGGAACAAGTTTTAAAAAAATCTCTCCTCCCACTGCAACACATCTCAGTCCTGTGAATCTGCAAAAGCAACCCTCTGTTTTTCAGTAATTATTTGGTGTGATTATTTAATTACCTATCAATGTTACTTTGTCCCTCTTGAGGATTGTACTGGTGTATTGGGGGAATTTAGACAGAACCACTCAGCTGATTTCTGGTGATTAATGTGTTCTCTATTACAAGCAAAGCTATTAACAAAAGGCACAATGTTAGTTCAATCCTATATAAAATCCCACAATTACTGCTATTGCCAAACAAAAATAGGAACCAAAGGGCATGAGAGCTTAGTGTTAGACTGTAAAGTCTCACCATAACTAAAGAGAAAGGTTTCCAGACCCCAGCAACACTGACAAAGGACCTCTCAGGGAGCACAGAAAGAGTTAAGAAGCAGCTGCAGCACTCTACAAGCTACATCTGCAAGGTACAGCAGAGAGAGGGGAAGGCAAACAAACCAAACTGAAACCATTCTTCCGTGCCCAGCCTCTTCTTCCTGTGATGTCATGCTACAAATTGCCTGGGCGCTCTGCTCTGCTCTCCAGAAGGAGCTGGGCTGGCAAGAGCTGCCGAGGGCTGCGGGCTGCAGGAACAAACACGCTCTGGAATTCGGTTTCTGCCCTGGCAGGCAGCTGCCTTCTGCTTCTGCCTCCCGCCCCATGGGGCCAGCCAGCCAGCCGACAAACTTGTTGTATAGAAAGAAGGGAGAGGGGGAAATGCAAGTGCCGACACTTTGCAGCGTCCAGGAAATCGTTTCCTAAAGCACACTCTCCCAGTACGTTCGGATGGACAAGGCTTTGCCGGCACAATCTGCAGCCAAGAGTAAGGCAGAAAGTCCTACCATGGCTTCATGGAATCGAGGTGGGAAATGGAACTAAGCAAGCTTTGGGGCGACCTCATCTGCCACAAATGATGCATTTTCTGACTTTTGCAGACTGGCTACGTGACTACAAATAGCACTCGGCAGAGAAGAGAGAATTCCTGGTGATTTCTGCTGGAGATGTACTCCCCTGTCACAGAGCTCACCTTCCTGCCCTGAAGCTTCCCAGCATAACAAACTTGCCAAAGCACACCGTTCAAATACATCTGACCTGCCAGTTCTTCTGGAATTTCAAAAAAGTTGCAATAAAAAGACCAGAGAAGACGCCAAATCACGGGCATTTTTAACATACCATTATAATGGTAAGCTCTAATTGTTCCACTGAGGACTCCTTTAAATATACTTTGTACGGGTGTATCTTTAGCATGGTGTTTGTTCTCGGCCTCATAGCGAACTGTGTAGCGATCTACATTTTCACTTGTACTTTAAAAGTGCGAAATGAGACTACCACTTACATGCTTAATTTAGCCATATCAGATCTGCTTTTCGTGTTTACATTGCCCTTCAGGATTTATTACTTTGTAACCAGAAACTGGCCATTTGGAGACATTCTCTGCAAGATTTCTGTCACCCTCTTTTACACAAATATGTATGGGAGCATTTTGTTTCTGACTTGCATCAGCGTGGATCGCTTTTTAGCTATAGTACACCCCTTCAGATCCAAGACTCTCCGGACCAAACGGAATGCAAAGATTGTCTGTGCTGCAGTATGGATAACCGTGCTAGCAGGCAGCACACCAGCAAGCTTTTTCCAGTCCACAAACCGCAGGAACAATACGGAACAAAGGACGTGCTTTGAAAACTTTTCAGAGGACACGTGGAAAACCTACCTATCCCGGATTGTTATCTTCATTGAAACCGTTGGGTTTTTTATCCCGCTCATCCTGAACGTGACCTGCTCCACTATGGTCCTACGGACCTTGAATAAACCGCTTACATTAAGCCGGAATAAAGTAAGCAAGAAAAAGGTACTCAAAATGATTTTTGTCCATTTGGTGATATTCTGCTTCTGCTTTGTGCCTTATAACATTACCTTAATACTTTACTCCCTTATGAGAACACAGACCTGGGTCAATTGCTCAGTGGTGACTGCAGTCAGGACTATGTACCCCATAACTCTGTGCATCGCTGTTTCAAACTGCTGTTTTGACCCCATTGTCTATTACTTCACATCAGATACCATTCAAAATTCCATAAAAAAGAACCGGTCCACCAGACCACGGGATGTCAGATTCTCTGAAAGGCCAGTTTCAGAAAGCTTCATTCAACACAGCCTTCAGACCATAAAAATGAAAATATTTGACAGTGACTCTACAATATAAACTATATTAAAAGACTATTGGGACTAAACTGGAATTAGAAGCCTGCACATTTCTTCAGCTGTGGACATATATTCATGTATGTAAAGGCTGTGCTTCCTTCACATCTGAAAAGTTTATTACAAGGCTGTAAAAGTGTTAAGCATAATAGCACACAGAAAAAGTGTTTTAAAAATCTGTGTCAAAGGTTTGTTCTGACAGATTGTATGTTAGAAATGAACTTTTGAGTTTAGAGGTTAACCAAAGTCCAAGGACTGTTTCCCAAGTCAAACACAAATGAAAAAGTAGGTTGTTTTCCTTGCTGAAGTTAAAACAGTTGCTCCATGTTACTGAGGATGGGGGTGAAGCTGCCTGCTCCACACTGCAGGAAAACTGCCCCATATTGTCATATCACTTCAGCTACTGTGTCTTCCCCAGTTTCCTCTTGCTTCTCTTACTCCTCCCCTACTGTCTTTTTCCCTGCACTTTCCTTCTTAAGGGACCATTATGTTCATAGGAGGCTAAAATCAGTGGGTTACAAGAACTTTGTTTCTCCCAGCTTTATCTGATAAAAATACATGCTCTCTCCACATGCCTGGCCCCCATAAAGCAATTACATCTCCTGGTAGTTTAGAGCATTTGGAAATGTCTCAGACAAACTGGTTTTTCTTCTCACCTCTCTCTTAGAAGCCTGTGTGATTAAAACAAAGTAACCTGTGATGACTGAAGTTAATGTTGTAGGTACAGTACCACTTTATTCAACTCTTTTGTGAGGAGTTCTTAAACTCAGCATGACTTTTGAGGAAAATAACATCCTCTGAGTAAGTTAATTTGATCTCAAAGTACAGTTTCTTGGTAAAACAAGACCTTTTCTAACTAAACATGTTATTAAAAAATAAACATGTGCATCAAGTTGATTATTTCTTCCAGGAGACTATCTGGTGTCTCATAAAGAAATTCAAGATGCTGTAATTATGGAGTTCAACTTCCTCTCCATTTTTGCATCCTAGAAATCATTTTAACATGAGCATTCAAAACTTCAAATTCTATTTTCTTCCAAAGTTTAAAAAGTATAAAAATAAAGTATGTGGGACTACATGCTGGCAAAATTAATCAAGACACTTGGAAAAGTCAGCAACATTTAAAAGGAAAAATCTACATATATTACTGTTACAGACAGCAATACATAGACAAAAATGCTTTAAAACATCCTGCTATATATGTTTCCCAGCTACGAGAACCTGTGTACATTTTCCTCAAAATTAATTTAACATCACTGTAAAATAAAATAAAATTTAAAAGGTAAAATAAGTGTTGTTTTTTCCTCCCCAAAAACAATGGAGTCAAGAATAAGAACTGAGTCTAAACAAATTTGCACTTAAGATTTAGGGCAGTCAGCTGCAACACACACACAGCACTGAGACATTTTTGCACTGGGGCTGCACCTCCTTCACAGAGGAGTGAATCAATGTAGGAAAAAATGCATATTGAGCCATCAAACTATATGATACATTGTTACCTGAATGAATTTATTTCCCTATTCAAAGCTTCTGATTACCTGTCATAAATCAACCATACATTACCTCTTACTACTGGGAAACCGAGTTACTCAATGACTGCTAGGAGCTACTGTTGATTGAATTTTAAATTTAACAGCATTTTCAATGTTTATCCACATAATTTATGAAAGGAAAATCCATATAGTATGGGCTTAAGCTACAAAGACAGCATATATATAAAGGTCTGCATGACATCTGAAATAAACAATTATCTTTGCTGGGAATCCTAAACTCTTCTGATTCATATCCAACTTCAAAAAAGTGCACGAAACTCTTGGCATGAGAGAAATACTTTGTTTTCCATATGCCACTGACAAATCCAAAGTCCAAAACCACATATGCATCTCTAAAGTCTCAATGCCTCTCTCTCTCTAAGACTCCCTCCAAGAAGTGTGAGACAAAAGGCCCCAATGTCACTGCTGGGCTGTTTCCAGGGTACTACTCCCCTGAGCTTGTCATAGTTGTTACTCAATTGAGTGACAACTTGTTCAGCAACACCCCTCTGCCTTACAGCAGAGAGCACCCCAGAGCCTCACCCTGATAAACAGAACCTACTCTTTCTGAGATTAAAAAACTGTAGGGGAAGAAAAAACCCCATCACTGACTTAAAAGCAGAACAAGCAGACAAAGCCACATATATGAGTACTTCCCCTTTAAAGCAAACTTTCCTTGGTGTATTACCTCAAGTAGTCTGCAGAAGCACAGTAGCTCTGCTTTGCACTCACTCTCCAGGGCAGCAGCTCCTGTTATTTGAAAGAGCACAGTGCAACACAGTACAATAGCTTTCTGATCAGTTAATGGCTCAAGGTCCAGAAGCTATCCGAGGAAACTTTATTTTTAAACATTTTCCCTTTTTCACAGGTGAAAAAAAACCCCACAACAAATATCTTAACAAAAAACCCAACACAGTCAAAAGGCATCATCTGTTATGCTGAAAACCAGACCACCACTTCAAAAATTCCTGATCTGACTGATTCAGAAGAGGGGGAGTAAAACTGTACCTCCCACAACAAGGTGATATAAAGACAGGGTACCAGATATTCAGGACTGGATGACGTTTTCTCTGCCTTTTCTGGTTCTGCAACAAGATTATCCTGGAGATCTGTGGATGGAGCAATGCTTTCACTGGTGCATTCCTCAACAGATGCACTCCCTCTCTGCTCTTGGCTTTGATACCAACTCTTCTGTCTGTCTGGTAAGGTCTTATGACAAAATTTAAATGTAAAATCTAGATAAGAAGTTACATTCCTAAGTCATGCCAAGACATTTCAAAGAAAAAAAGGCTTACATTGTCAGAGCTCCTGAGGATCTGAATGTGTTGCAACCAGTACTTCCTAAAAGTGCATTATTTTTACTCATATGGCTACCCAGGGAGAGCTAGGAGTTCAGTTTTACAACCAAAACTTCAAAAATTGTTATTTGTAGTGTGGTTTCTTCATCCACAGAGTGTAGAAAATGCACACTTCCTATAAAAACAAAGGCAGAGCAAATTTAATTGAGTCCAAGCATGTTTTAGATCTAAAGGCAGGTAGATATTGATAACTAGTTAATTAACTAGCAGTTTTAAAAGACAAACAAAAAAATTTGCTGTAAATACCTTAAACTTACTTCAATATATAATTACTTCAAAATCAAAATACGTCATATTTTATACTTTCTGTATTCAGGTTGAAGTTTTAATTTTTAATTGCCAGGCAATTTTTTTCCACCTCAGTATACTATTTTACTATGTGTAACTATTTTACACTTGAAGAAATACCAATACCAAGTCAAATATGTCTTTATATTTTTCATCTAAAAGTGTGTAAAAAAACTCCATAGAAAATACTTCAGGCAGGTAAGGAATCCTTAAATGAAATCAACCTCCAAGATTTGGTTTCTTAAGGAAGTAACCTCAGTCACAGAAATACAAAAATTGAAAAACAGCTCTTGAGACCAGGTAAAAGATAAGAATAGCTGATCAGACCCCAAACATGCAGCTAATCTACAATCCTGACTCCAACAGCAGACAAGGCTGGATGCCTGGGGAACAAGATAACAGTAGGAGAAGCACACAAGGCTTTCTCAAGTGCTGTCCCACTTCATCAATCATATCTCAGGATTTTCTGGGTCAGATATATTTGTGTGCTCAGGAAAAACTTTTCTTCTGTGAGCTTCTTCTGTCTTCCTGTAAATGTGTGTAAAGTTTTTAATGTTCACATTACTAAATAGTTCACATTGTGTGTGTGCATAGGGGGAACAAAACTAAGAAACCCAAACATCCTTTCATTTCAAATTTACTATTTCATTAGTGCCCCTCTTGTTTCTTTGGAAAGAGGCAGGGAGCACTAGACTGCCATTCAACCTTTCCCTATCATTCCTGATCCAACAGTCTTCCATCACCTCTTGCAAATGAGAAAGAGATTTTCACTTGCAATTTCAAGCACCATCATAACCAAAGATGAGATTTCTAAAATTACACAAAGAACTAAGCTGAAATTAGAGAACCCAGCGAGGTTCACTTTGAGACTGGTAATTTTGAAAATCCCACCTGAGCACAGTATCCTCTAGCCTTATTTATTCTTTCAATTTATTTTCTAAGAGTTTTATCCATGAAAAGCAATTTGTTCATACTTTTCCAGCAGTAAATGTAATATTATAAGGTTCTTGCATCTAGGCAGACCTGTGAATCCTGACAAGTTCCCTTTTTTACTAGATTATCATAATTTAGACCTTAAGGCTTCTGGCATTTGAGCACCACTGACAAAATGAAAGATGATACATTTCAAAAGTTAAGGCAAAATGTAAATCACAATGATTCTAAATCTAGAAAGCAGAAATGCCTGGGCTGCATTTGTTATCCAATGACCAGAATATTGAAAGCATTGTATAAACACAACTATCACTGCCTTAGCACATTCACAGAACATACTCAATAGGGTTCATTTAAGATGAGCCAAATTCAGAAAGCCAAGCTTGCAAAGTCTAACACTTTTGCAAGAAGCTGCATGGAGAAGTTTTGCTTTCATAATTCTGGTTTGATATTGAAGCCTTACACATTTATCACCGCAGCCCCATCCAGTTCCTGTCAGACAGCTGCTCGTAAGAGCAAGCCCAGCTCTTCCCGTAAGAAAACTGAACTTACTACAAAATTAAAACAAACAAAAAGAACCCTTCACACATTTTCTGGTCTTTTATAAACCTACCACATTGTTGGAAAACTAAAAATTCCAGAGCTCAGAATTTAGATTTTAAATAATTCTTTTTTTCTACTTAAGAAGCAGTCTGCCCACTCTAGTTCTATCAGAACTAAAAGTTGTCCAGCAATAATAAGGGGTAAATTTTCTGCAGTTTAAACCTGATGATTAAACCACAAGCAACGACAAAGGAAGGCCGCTAGAAAGCAGCTCTTTTATGATGAGATAAAAAGAATATTTTTGCACACACATAGTTTTAATATTTCCCCTAACTCTATCTTTCTTAAACAGTGAGTTCCTGCCTTAAAGAAAAAAATCCTTAAATAACAATGTTAGCAACAGGAGGCACCCAAAATTAATGCATCCATCTTGTGAATAATATTAACTCTACCTCATATGAAAACAACTTCGGCTAGGTTACCTCTGCTTTTCAGAAGAATTCTGCAAATCCTGCTGCTTTATGAAAGGAAGTCAATTGGAAAACTTTATTAAGTACATAGCAAAATATGGAAAAAAATGAGAATACTGACAGTGAAGCAAGTACCAAAATATCTACCTTTTCAGCCTAACAAAAAATGTTTCATTAATGAAATCAAATCTGAAAACTGCTGGTCTACTTATTTCACACTTCTTATATGTGAAAGAAAGTTTACCACATATACTGCATGTTACTGTATTTCACGCACTCCCCTGGGTGGCAAATGAAAAAAAAAAAAAAAAATCAGTACTGACTGCTGTCCAGATAAGATCTATGAGTTCCTCCAGCTGCTGGAAGGCGCAACAGGCACGCAGAGAGCGTGCCAAGCACGGGCTCTGGTGTGGGCAGGGTGACTCCCAAAGGAAAAGCACAGGGTGCTGGCAGTCCAGGAATGAACCCAAGCCAAGTTCAGACCAGGCAGAGTCTATGTGGGTGAGCCTCCAGCCTCTGCTCAGGAGAACACCAAGGATGCAGCTGCAGAGGCTCCACACTCAGCTGTACCATGGGCACTTACCAGCCTGCACCTACCCCACTCTGACAGGCAAACCCAACCCAAAGGAAAAGCTTCCACCAAACCCAGAGGGATTATCTTTCTGGAGGGTTGAACACTATGTCTGCTCAACAGCTGTGAACGGGGGCATCCACAAC